GGTCCGCGGCACGCGCGATGCTCGAAGTTGAATATCTCCCTTGTTCATTGTGCTCGGAAGACAATAGGATGACCTTGGGAAGAGCCGTTACGACGACCTTCGCAGAATTTTCTCCGTCAGCGTGCGCGCGCGCGCGTGCGCGGTCGTACGCCTGGGGACCGTTCGAATCTGGATCGGCGGCTTCCTCCTCCCGCGTTGATCGTTAACCGGACAGAAAAATCGGACGAAGTCGATCGAATAGCTAGAACGCGACACGGTGCACCGCACACGTCTGCACACATGTATATTCGTATATACGTATACGTGGTACATGCGTTATTCGTCGTCTCTGCGTTTTCCTCTATCATCGAAATCCTCGGCGATCCGGACAGGGCCCTACGGATCGATAAATATACGGGTGGGGGCGATCGATGTCTCCGTGCGGGCGTTCTCGACGTTTATACTCTATTATAATACATACATATACGTAGAAATATATGTATAGGATACACGCGGTACAGATATGCAACGGCTGTTCCCCGGCGTACAGAAGGATTTTGATCGCCCCTAATTGGCTCGCTCGTCGAATCGATCGAATATATATATAATATAATATGTATTCGGTTAATAGAACGCGCAGACTATGCTCGGCCGTCGCGGCGGTGCAGCGTTGCCGAGGACCATGACGACGCCCGTTCCCGGCATCGCGACGGAACAAACACCGCGATCGTTTTCCTATGTAACGAAGAGAGAGAGAGCGAGGATCGACGAGGCCCCGCCGCGACGTCCCTTCTTCGAGGCGGACGCGCGCTGTCCAAGAGGCTGGGAACCGTCGCACGCCTCGGACGATTCCCAGCGCTTCCCGTCGCTAACGAACGACGGCGAAGTGGTAAAAGTACTCGCGTTCGACGCAGGGCGATGGCAGTTAACTGGCGTTTAAAAATCAGCGTCCCGTTCCTTCCGCGGAAGGAACGCGTTTTAGGGAAGCCTGTGGTCGAACTTGGACAACCGTCGCCGATTTCGAAGGACCGCCGCGAACGCTGGCCCCGCGCGATCCCGGCGCGTCGCGCGCGGCTCGTCGTTCGCCGACCCGTTCCGTCCGCCATCTTGTCGGCCGGTCGCGGCGGCCGCGAGACGATACAGAGGAAAAGCGCGCGGATCGAGGATCGATCGGAACGGGCTTCTCGTCCCCGCGCGGCAACGCTGCAGACGCGAGATAGACGACGATAATTAGCTATTGTCGTTTGGAGGATAGTCGGCACACGGTTAATTGGGCCTAGATTTGTCCCCGGCGTTTGAACGTTTTCAGGCGACCTATTTAAATGCGATATATAGATATATTTATTTATACAATATAACGCGAGTCCACATCTCGACTCTATGCAACGAATTCGACTAAGTAATATATTGACGTTCACTTCGCACGAAGATACGTATGAAATATAATTTCAGTGCCTATACACGGCCGGCCGTTTCGATCGAACGTCCGCGAAACCGTCGTCGCTGTTCGACATGGCCGACGATCACGCGTCGCGCGCTCGCCCCTTTCGACGACGACGATCCTCGGGGGCCCGGTTCGATCGGAACGGCCCACCATTTTGTTTCCGTTATGAAGTAAACCTGAGGTATCTTTAAGTCTGTAAAGCTTCCGTTACGAATCTTTTTTTAAGTTCACGTTCTCTTTCCTGTTCTCTCGCGCAGCAGTGGCTTCTCTTCGCGTTCTCAAATCTCCTCTGCTTCCATCGACGACACACACAGCGTCCGTTCTTTTTTTCTCTTCGGGCTCTCCCCTCGCGTTTGTTCGTTTTTCTTTTTCTCTTTTTTTTTCGTTTCTCTGTCTATCGATCGGTTTTCGATTTTTCCTCGAATACAATGGTAAAACGTCGCGGCTACCGGTGCCGGAGAGAGAATATTTGGCATTTCGAATGGCACTATCGTTCAACCTTGTACTAAGATCTCCGTGTGGTGCCCGCGCGTCCGTCTTTTTTTTTCGTATTCCGTCCGTTCGTACGTTCGTTCGTCGGTACGCTGTCGGATATGTCCGCCAAAATTCTCGTCACTTTCGACACCCTCGTTTCGACAGAAAAGGACTCGGTTATCGGTTGGTCGGCCGCCGGTTGGCCCCCCGATCCTCGGGAATTACAACGCCTCGTGGTCGAACAATACTGCGCTGGTTTTGTTCGCTCGTCGGCCGGAGCGACGGAGATCGAAACGGTGGATCGATCTCGCGAGAATGAACGACGGGTCGCGGTACATTCGGGAGGAGGAGAATCGCGATGTTCTCCGGAATGGCGCGCCGCTGTCGCCATAAAATCATCATAAAAAAAAAAAACAAAAAACAACGAAACAACGATGGTTCTCGATAAATAAAATTAAAAGTATATATTCGTATAAAAATCATATTCGAAACCGAGGGTGTTTTATAAAACGATAGCGATCGATCTCTCGAGCTGTTCCTGCGTCGGTGGACCAGCCATCCTGTCGCGCGAAGTACAATGATTTCAGCAGTATTATTCGATGTCCCAGGACGATTTCCCGAAACGGCGCGCGCCAGCCGTAACCGTACGCTTCGCGAACCACCTCGAATGGCAATTTTGACCTACAGAAGGAACCTATTTGGACGGCAATTACTTTCTATCCTATACGCGTTCGCTTTCGCGACCTTCTCTTCACCATCATCCTCCACTTTCCTTGTTTTCTCACAGTTTCTTTTTTTTTTTAGCAACCATTTTCTTATCGTTTCTTCCTCTTTCTACGCCGATCGAAAAGCATTTCGCGACGGTTCTTCTCAACTCGGATCGTCCGACAATGTCCGCTCGTTTATTCGACTCTCTGTGCTGAGCTGTGGTTCTTGCGTTCGATCGAGCACGCGGGACGTCCACGTTTTTTTTAATACTATCCGGATTGATTTTCGTCGTCCGTGAATTCTATCGAGCTGGAATTCGATCGATCGCCGGCCGACCGATCGTCGACACAAACGAAAGAGCAGAACAACCCTTCTTTCTAAGTACGTGTGGACTACATCGCGATCTCCCGCGATCGCGGTCCTATTCGAAGCATCTCTTTCCGCTTTCTCCTCTCCGTTCTCCGTTGAATCCGTTTGACGTTTCACCGAACCGTCGGTCCCGGTTCTACGATCGAATCCGATTTTCCATCGCGACGAAACAGCATCGGCGCGCAGCTCGATCCCGCCGTCACGGGGGGGGGGGGGGGAAAAAAAAAGGGGGAAAAAAAAAAAAAAAGAAAAAAAAAACGTCTCGACGACGACGGCCGCGTCGCGGACGTCGCGAGCGTCGGTCGGCTCGCTGGGAACGATCAGAAGCGAGTGGCGCACATCGTCGTCGCGTAGGCGATACGATAAGAAGAGATCTTGAAAGAAATGCCATCGGTGTTTCTCGTTTCTTTCAGATGGTGGCGGGTTCTTGGCTTTTCACTAATCGAGAGNCGGCGGGGCGCCGCCGCGCCGCGGGGAGGGGGGGGGGGGGGGAGAAAAAGACAGGGAGAATAAAAATACACGAGATAAGAACGAAAGAACACGAGGAACGCGCTACGCGGGTAAAATTGTACTAGAAGATGAGCATCGATCGCCACGACGAAGGGCGGAGAGGCCCTCTTTAACGTGGGTCCGAGGGAGAAACAAAAATAAAAAGTCGGTTCTACGTTTACACCTACGATAGTCCTCGACGAAAAAATACCCTTCTTTCGATATTAGATCGTTCGCGTTTCGTCGGCTGACGAACGACGATCACGCGAACCCGAACTTAAATTAAAACGAGCGATTTAATTCTACGGATAACGGTAGCGTGCTAATTAATTAATCGGTTAATAATAACAAAGGATCGTTTCTACGAATTTGACGACAGAACGGCAGCGTGCGATTAGAGTCGATTTCTTCTGCACCGCTGCCTCGTGTGTCGCAAAAGTCCATCGAGATCAAAAATAAACGTGTCCACGTTGCGTTTCTGCTCGTCGGTTTCTTTCTTTACTTCCGTTCGCGTCAACTGGTCGTCCCCGTCGGAGTCGGTTTCTTTCTCCTATCCGTGTTTTAATAAGCGATCCGTTCGTGTCGTGCGGACGATCGAAAGCGAGAAAGGGAGCACAATGTCGGCTGTCGGGAGCGCCCATACAGAGGGCGTGTGTTCACGAGATCACACTAGTTCGCAGCAATTCCCCCTTAACGTCGCCGCTGTTTCATTCTCGCGCTACTAGTAGCTGGCAACTCGCAGCTGTCGAAGACAAGGTCTTCTTGGTTGCGGCGACACGAATGAATCCGAATTAATCGGTACAACTTTTTCCCTTTACCGTCGCGTCCGTCTCCGGCGACATCGACGAGTAGCCAGCCAATAGTTGACGCATCGGTAACTGCTCGACAAAGTCCTGCGGACTCTACAAGTTGCATCGAATGGGAAACATTGGGTCGAATGCGACGCTAAGGGGGGACCGCCGTCCAAAGATCGCGCGGCTCGCCACGCGTACGCGCGCAGATCCAAGCTGCCCCGTGGATCACGCGGCTCCGTGGGATCGATCGATCGATTCAACTGCGAGGCCTGTGTGTGTAGTGTCTTCGTCGGCGAACACGGTCTTAGGTCGTACCGATGCGGGGGCTTGCGAAAAAAGAAAGCCCGAGCCCGTGACACACGGCGGCGCGTTACAGCGAAACTCAAGACGGCGCGTCCGCGCGTCATAAGAACGCGACAATCGCTTTGTTATAATATTTCTCCTCGTACACTCTTATACTTCATTATATTCTTTTTTTTTTCATCGTTTTCGCTTCGTTTGAAATAACTTTTTATCTGGCAGTATAATAATTGGTGTATAAAATTTTGTTTTCCTCTTTATCGTCGCGCATCATTCCCCCCCCCCCCTCCCACCCCTTCGTACACGCACCATATCCCCACCCCCTTTTTATATTTTCGTTTTCGCTTTATCACCCGGCGTTATTCCGTATTGCCGTCAGCCTCGAGTCGGCTCACAATTTCATTAATATCCGATAAAATTTAGAGAAAAATATCACAATTAGCTCTGCTTTTCGACGCAAAATATATTTCCTAGATTGTATTCCGTTCAACTTGACCGCCTGCGTCGGTTCCGGGAAGAACGTCGGCCAACGGCTTCTTCCGTTCGTCCGGGACACGATTCCGTCCGCCCTGACACCGTCTGGGAGCCGGGTCACCGGTGACCCGGCTCCCCAGGGTGTCTCGCAACGAGTTTTAGGGGGCTTGGACGAAGGAAGACCTATTGCAATGACCTAAGAGTCGGTTCGGGAACCAGCACTGCGAAGGACCCGCGCGTTTACCCGTCCACCTTCGACCCTGTGCAATCGAATGGGCCACTCGGAGGCGTGCCGGTTTGCTAGGCGCACTGGAGATTACAGAGAGAAAATACCGAATCTCGTTGTTCGTCAATTTCAGTTTCATAAGTTGATAAAGGACAATCGTCGCTTTGCCCCGAGAAGCGCACCTAGGTCAAGCTCGGCGTTGCACAGATGTCCTCGGAAATGGAAAAGTCCCGAGTGCATAGGGTCAAAAGCGGGAAACACGCGGGTCCCTGTGGCGTACCGAGCCAAAAGCCGCGAGAACGAAAATACAGCAACGATTTTCTTCTCCGCTTCCGGCGGGAACCCGGCTGGGGGAACGAGGCTGTGTACATGTGTGTGTGTGTACATGTGTGTGTTTTCGCGCCCTCGTTGTATCGGGGTCGTGTTCAAAGATAGAGATAAAGATAGAGAGAAAGAGAGAGAGGCAGACAGACAGATAGAGAAAGCGCGACAGTCTAAGAAGAGACGCCTCGTTCCGCGCCACGCCAATTATTCGCTATCTACTAATTCGAAGGGAATCCCTTTTATCTTCTTCGTCTTCGTCTCTCTCGATTTCAAAGAAGAGAACAAAGAGGACCCTAGCTGAGTTTGCCAAGTGCCAGAGACGAGCGACCAATAACTGCGGTTTACGGGGGATGGGTATCGTTCAACGACCGCGCCATCCCCCCCGTTATTCTTCCACGTGTTTGTTAATCAAGGTGCGATTAACACGGGCCCCTTTCTAAACCGTCCGCCATCCGTCATGGGATTGACGTTCGCGCTCCGCGAAACTCGTGCGCCCCTTTGTCGGCCATCTTCAACCCTCTTCAGGTCTCCGGGGGGTATGCTCTCTAAACGAGAAGAAGGGGTGCGCGGGAAGTGGCGGTTTCGTTTGCGTGTCCGTCCACGGTCTTTTTTCTTATTTATCATGGGGATGAACAGACCGGGAGAAAGAGAGAGAGAGTAAAAGAGAGAGAGACCGTTATGGAAGATGGTGGACGATAAATAGGGTGTCTGTTCGGTGGCAGCGACCGTAGATGTTCGTCTCGGTCGCGCTTTCGGTTTTCGTTCCTTTGTGACGCTCGTCGCCGCCGCGACGGTGCTCTTCCACGATGACGATGACGACGACGACGACGACGACGATGACGACGACGACGACGACGACGACGACGACGACGACGACGACGATGGCGACGGCGACGACGAAGACGGCGACGGCGGCGACGACGATGATGACGACGACGACGACGACGTCGTCGACGATTGACAAAATTGGCAATTGGCAGTTGGTGATTGAAGTTCTTTCATTTTTCCTTTGTTATTTGGTTGTCTCGGTTGTTGTCTCGGTTTATCAATCTGCGCTTTTTGTTTATATTCTTTTCTTTTTGTTTCTGTAACGGTTTAACGTAGCATTGGCAAACTCTGGGGTCGGCTCGGCGACAATCTCCGCCCGCGAACGTACGAACGGGGCGGTCGCTTGGCCTAGTCACCGAAACGACTGCAGGCCTTCTTCCACTTGCATTGCGTGCACCACAGCTCCCGGTGCTCCATCCCGTACACCTTGCGGCACTTCTTTGTCTCACCGCGGACGCGACGGGGCGACGACGGCATCTTTCCCGTCGAAACCGTCAGCAGGCCTATGCTCTGCGGGTACGTCTGGAACGGCCGCGGGGACAGCTTTATGTGCTTGTTCGGGGTGCCCTTCGGAAACAAACAGAAGCAAAGACGTCAGTATTAAAGCTCTCCGCGAGGTTCGTGCGTTAATCGGCTCAAAGAAGCTGGTATTCGTGTCGAGGACCGGTAAACATTAACCCTTTCGGTACGAGCGCCGGATATATCCGGCATCCATCCGATGACCAATATGGACGAGTGCCGAATACATCTGGCATCCATGTAAGCCATATTTCTGTAGGCCCTTTACAGAATGTTTACAGGAAACGTTTAAAAAAAGATTTAGAAACGGATTAAGCACAGTCATTACTGAACGCTTAAGAAAATCTTCGTACAAAAGTGGACCGACCCTGCGTTATGTGCGCATTTTCGGCGCGGCACCCAGTACAGTGGGAGTGTCACGTCGGACAACGCGCCCGTACCGAAAGGGTTAATGAAAAGGTGCCACCCTCTGAATGATATTTTCGCATTTTATCGAGGTAATTGCCAGGATCTGAGACTCCGTGGAAAAATGGTCGAGAACCAGTCGGGCACGAGGCAGGAAAGGTAGGGTCGCGAGGTAGCAAAGGTGGATTGCGCTGAAGCGGTGTATCAGATGCACGCTAGACCAAGTCGGCAGAATGCGTACGGCCTGTAGTCCCGCTAGCCACATTTCGTTGCCAGCTAGCGTATCCAGCCAAGGGTAACGTTATCCGTGGTGCGTACGTACCGGTGATTGCGAAATGGTGAACGCGGTGTTCCGTTCCTTCATTCCCACCATGACGTTCTCGGTGTTGCTGTTGGTCGCGGTGGCGGCCTCTAAACGAAGCTGTTTCTGGTACTCGGGGTCCTCGTGAGGGGGCCTGGCCATGTCCCGGTGCGACAACGTCGGCGGCGAGCTCATGTGATCCACGGCGACTTCCTGATAGTAGAACTCCTCCTCGTGGTCGGACATATAATCATCCTCCTCGTTATCGGGGCCCTTCGACTTCTTCGGCCTGCGAAAAAGCATCCTTTTGAAAAATTCTGCACGATCTCGAGAAGTTCGACGTCGACAGATTTTACCAAGCTCGAAACTATGTTTTTTCTTTTGTCCCGCAGCCTTTCGGCCAGGTTTGAAAGAAGATCTCGCGGCTCCTATCTTGATCCTACGAAAGATTCCGCGGTTCCGCCGCGAAGATAGCCGAAAAATGTTGTTGCACCGTTCGGCATTCCAAGCGTTTTGTTTACGCGCGGCGCGGAACTCCGGTGTTGATCGTCTTTCGGATTTATCTTATCGGCGGGCCGGTTCAAGGTCAATCGTTCGACGGCCTTGTAACCGGTCACGATACGCCGGCCGCGCTGCGCGGCACCGCGGGCAACGATTTTCGCAAAGACTTGTTGCTCGGCGTCTTACAACGGCGACGAACACTATGACTTACCCCAAGTGTAATTGGCGCACGTGTTCCTCGATAAGCGGAACGGTCGCTTTGATCTCCAGACAGCCGGGCCAAGTGCATTTGAACACCACCGCTGCGTTCGCCTGAAATCAAAACGAGCGAATCAAAATTCTGTTTCGCATCGTGCGGCTTGCAATTACAAAAAAAAAAGAAAAGTGAAACGTCTATCCAGCTCCTGTGTCTCTTGCAACAAATGTTTTTGTACACAAAAAAATCTTTATCGAACGAAGAAATTAAATCGCGTGCCCGAGCATCGTTGCGAGCTAATCAATTGCAGTCCCTCCCCCGAATTAAGGGGAGGGGCGGAATGAAAATTTCATTGAACGTTCCCGTTTTTCCCTGTTCCCGGGAGAAAAGGTGCTCTCCCGTTTCTCTATTTTTCTCGTTGGGTTCGCAATGGCGAGAGGAAGCAGCAAAAGACCGGACTCGGAGCAGTTTGGTCTGAAAGGGATGAGAGGGCAGTGCTGCGATTCTCGGCGAGGATTTTGCCAAATATTTCAGGCATCCTCTGACGGCGTCTTACGGTTCGCCGGTCGATGCGATGTAGCGTGAATCGTGTACACGTAGCCCACGCTCTCCCGCCTCCTCTCTCTCTCTCTCTCTCTCCCTCTCTTTTTCTCTCTTTCCCTCCCGTTCTTTGGTTCTCCAGTTCTCTTCTGTCGCGTGACAGCCGCGTGAGGGAAAATCGATGCAAGCCGTCCGGCGTGTGTTCGGTGCGCGCGCGGTTCTTTGTTTATACCGGCACAGCTCGAACACTTTGCACCCGGAGCCGGTACCACGATCACGTGCTATTGATCCAGGGACGACGCAACACGCGGTCCTGACTTCTATTCGCCTCTGTTGCGTCGTTTCACCCTTGGACCCGTAACAGTTTAGCTATCTGAAGCCCGTCGACACGCGTTACCAATGTATGCAATTGTTCCGTATTCGTCAGAAGATGATTCACCGGCTTTATCTCGCGTGCTTGCGGCGAAACTGAACTTTCTCTCGTTCGAAACATATTTCCTTTTGTATCTTCGGTATTTCCTTTTTTAGTGGAAATGGATAGTTCGCCGCTGCTCTTTCTTCTGTAAACTTTTGGTGCGCGGAGCCGCTTCAAGTTCGCGATGTTACGGGTCGTCGGATTCGAGTGACCTTGATATTTTATTACCCACCGCAACGTCTTCTGTTCCGACATTTTTCTCAATTACCAACGATAAACGAGATACATACATGTACTTCGACCCGCGAGTTCCTGTCCCCTCCCCCCTCCCGCGTAATCGCCGTAATTTCGAGCGGGGAAGAAAAAGGGGAACGCGCCGTAAAAGGTGACAATGTAAGAGAGGACAGTTTCGAGGGGTCGATAACACCGCGGTCGATTAACCGTAGCCGCGGCCTACGTTGCTGATTCACGGTTTTATGCGAAAAACGATACGTATCGCGAAAAAGTGAATGTGTTTCCGTCAGCAAAAAAAACAGAAAGAAAGAAAAAACAAACAAAAAATACCTCCAAGTCGCGCGATCTACGTCTATATCCTCTATGCTAATCCGTTCGATTCGAATGAAAATGGGACACCTGTTATTGGCCGTGGTGTCTCTGTCTCTCGGCTTATGGATATTATTTCCTCCGGTACTTTCAACCATTTCGCAACGTTCTCCCGCGGGTTTATCTCCGTGCGGCGAACGTTCGCGAACGGGAGCGTTTGTGCCGCCTCCGCATTTGCATAACGTGTGCCCGAACCAGTTCGGGAAACGGTATAATAACACGTTTTCCGGTGACAAATTAGCGATACACTTTCAACGGCGATCCCATCGAGGCAACAAAGCGATCACGCTCTCCGGCGAGCGAGAACGCGACCTCCTCCTCCTCGCCGGCTCTATGAAAGTTGCCCCTCAAGGACTCGGTGTGCTGCTCGGCTCTCTCTCTCTCTCTCCCATTCGTGCAAGAAGACAGGTACACGTGTTAAGAAGCCGGCAAACAACGAAATTATTGTAGCTGTAAATTGTCCCGGGGATAACTTGGCCGCGCGATGCCGCCGTGGAGACGCGACCGACGAGAGAGAGACCGCTCTCTCACGCGCGCGCCGCAGTCCGACGTGAAATACTGCCGAAGATTTTATCGATTTCGAATAGTCATTAGCCGACTGCTAACTACCGATGGGAGATTAATTGCCGGGGAGCAGTGCAAACAATCCGGCGGAATCGCTTCGGCAATTTAAACCAGGCGCGTTCGATGCCGGACCCTGACGAGGCTGCTTTCCGACCCCGAAACGTTTTTTATCCGACGATCCTGGCTGTGACGAAAAGAAGATCCCTTTATCGATTCGATAAATTAAAAGCTTGTAACGAAGGCATCTTCTTCCGTCGCGAATAAATCGTGAAATCGTGAACTCGTTTGTCAGAAAGGTGGACGCGAGAAGAAGCGGAAAAACTGCAGCGAGGTAACGGGCCGATTTTTCAGCGGGCAGCAGCGGAAAGAAAATAAGGCGAAATGTGGTCGGCTTCTTCAAGGACCTTTCTACCCGTGACATCACCTCTGAAACGGTACACGCGGGCAGGCGGCGTAAGTACGGCGTAGCATAGGCATTGCCGAGGTCACAGACCTTCTATGCCGGTTGGCAGGCAATGCTCTCCCTTTGCTTTGCTTTGCCTTGCCGTGCCTTGACTCGCCTTGCCTTGGCCGCCGCGGCTCGACTCGGCTCGGTTCGGCTACGGCGTGGACTGGCTTCGTTCGCTTCGGGTACGACGAAGGAGAAGAAGAGAAGTCATCGCGTGCCCGATCCTTTCCCCCCTCCCCTCCCTCCTCCTCCTCCCCCGCTTGCTCTTGTACGCTCACCGGCTTTCAGTTGCGTTCGTTAATAATCACGGCCCTCGGATTACGGTGAACGCGTGCGTCGAGTGCGATCGCGCGAACGACCGTAACCAGATCTGAAGTGTCCCTGATGAATGGGACAGCTTAATTTCGTTTAGCGGCAATCGGGCAAAGTCGGCGAAATGATGGATGAAGCGGGAAACAAACGGGCCTTGTGCCGGCACCGAGCTGGCCGTGCTGTGCGATTCCGGGCAACCGTCCTGGCGGGTTTCTTGTTTAAGTACAGTCTTCGGCTTTGGAAATGAGAAATCTCATGTAACATAAAAGTCCAAACCGAACAGATCAGCGTTCACGGTGTCTCAAAGAATTAGAACACCCAGCGAACGCTAAGGTCTCCATTTAATAGGAGTCCATTTTGAAGGTTCCGGTCGTTCCACCCAACTTTTCACGAGCTAGTCCTGAACAATCTGCCGTTTCTATCAGGCCCGATAGAGAGCTCGACGCTGGCTTGTAAAATAAATTTGAATGGACCCGCCCCGCGGCTACCGTGAAAGGTTTAACGTTTTTCTATGCAATGTTAGAAACTTCCAGCAATTTGTTTAGTCGTCAAAGAGCTTCCCGGCCAGACTCGGTGGATTGTAAAGGGCGGAGCGTGTATTGGTGGACGCGTTTGGAAAAAAAAGGAAAGAAGCAGAAGGTAGAGAGAAAGAGAGACAGCGGTGGAGCGGGTAAACGAGGCTGCCGTTAGGGTAGATGGCCGGCGTGCTCCGATCGAGAGACCACGCGCGTGCATCCCCATCTAGCTATCTATACTACCGGCAACATCGTATCGCTCCGCGATGCACCCACGGACAACTCTAACGCTCCGGCAACCCTGCTCGGCTCTTGCTCCGCTCCTCGCTTACTCATCTCTGCCATGCCGCCCAGCTCTCGGCGCGCACACCGCCACGAGAAGAAAGAGAGAGATCTTCCTCTCCGTCCTGAGATTTACATCTCTCTTTCTTCTGGCCGGTCGGCTGTTCCTTTTTTAGAATCTTGCCAATGGGACGGACCGTGACCAATTACATCGGTCGTTGTATCAGCCGCGTCCCCGTGCCCGATGCAACCTGTTAACGACGAGCCACGCTGATGCATTGTGGGTGGAACGAACGTGGCCGTTTCCGAGAAGAGCCGGCCTCTTCGGCGATCGCCAAGATTCACGGAAGACTTCATATTTTCCAGATTTCTTTTTATCCAAAGTCGGCTACCTTGGCAAAGAACAATGCTTAGAATACAGACGGGGACAGAAGGACGCTCTATAATTGTGTGGTATTATCGTTTGGTCTTCTTACGTGTCTCCCTGCTGAATACACCTTGTTTGTTTACAGCGTTATTTGCCATATGGTTTCGTTCGTCTATTCAACCGTGTATCCTAATGGCACCGCGTCCGATGTTTACCCGGTAGGTTGGTGCCTTTGGCTCGGGCATACTGGCGCCAAGTAAACACCGAACACCGTGTGCATATCTCGGCGGTTCTTTTCCCGTCGAAAGAAGACTTAAGCTGGTGGAGTAGCGGTGCGTGACAATAGGAAACCAGTTTAGCGCAACGTCGCCTCGGGTCCGATAGAGCAAGACACCTCAACCTGCCCCCCGGTATCGGTACACCCGTCGAGTCACGACACGCGTGTCCGTATCCGTGTCGAGCGGAGCCTTGAATCATTTATAATTAGACTGTGCATGCGATCATCCGCGTTACGGACCGACCCCAAGTGTGCTCTCGACGAATGAAAATTCCAGGCAAGGTCTCCCCGGCGCATGGCCCCGATGTCGCGTCGTCTCGCTACCGTCGCGCGTCCTCGGCTACCGTGTACGGCAACGAATCGAGCATTCACCACCTTCCTAGGTGAACGCGAGCAACCGGTGCGACGAACACACGGGAACGAAAATCGATCCCAAACTATGTACTCGCACCGGAACAACTTGCTTTCCACGCGGCTCTCGCTTTCTCCCCGCGTCATTCGCCAACGTTCGTTCGTTTCCGAGGAAACAACCATGCCCCGACTCTTTTGATCTTTCGCGCACGCGTGATCGCTGTCGCGCCGTGTTCTCTATAGCCCCGCGGAGTTCCTGTTGCCAGGAACACTGTCTGCAACAGATCCAGCGACTCGAAGCATACACCAAAAATACCGGTACATATTTTCCAACATTCGTACCCGCCGGATTCATTTCAGAATTCATTCAGAATCAGTGGAACAGTCTTCTCCGAGTCCTTGTTAATCAGCCACTTGTTTCTACCTCGCTGTTAGTCGCGTTGCAAAACAGAGGGGCATCGGCGCGACGCTGCGAAGAGAAACCGCTTTTTACAGCACCCTCTCTCTCACACACACACACTCTCTCTCTCTCTCTCTCTCTCTCTCTCTCTCTCTCTCTCTCTCTGTTCCTGAAACAAAAGCGAACGTTGATTCGATTTCAAATTAGATCCAGTGAAACATCCTCGACATGGCCTGTACGTCTTCGCCGGCGTACCTGCGTACCCTGACGTCACGCTAATTCGATGTCAATTCCCATTTCGGGATCACGTCGTCGCTATACAGAACACGGCCGATAGCTTTCACGAGAGCGTCGTCGGATGTATCGCGCGCCTGGCAAGGAAGGGCGAAGAGAGAGGCTCGTATGGAGGCGATCGCGCGACGAACGAAGAAAGAAAGAGAGAGAGGAGCAGCCTGGTAAGAAGTGGGGAGCCGAGGGTAACGCCCGGGAAACCAAAACAAACCAGGCTTCTGTGTGTTGGCGCGTCGATCCGTGGCGTGTGGTGAGGGTCGGCCGTTGACCCTTCGAAGGAACACACGAATGCTTTACGCGCGAACACCGAGTATACGGGGTGGCTGCTGAAAAACCCATGGGTTTGTTATGGTGGCAGTGGCGTCGCGAGGCGAAACGCGGGATCGTTGCACGCCGTGTTCGGCCGGGATTAGAAAGTTTTCAGGAGCAACGCCACCGGCACGATAACCGCTAATGGCTGCCCGCTTAAACGGCCGGAACGACGCGTCGAAAAGATCCATAACGATCCACGGAATCCTGCGCGCATCGCTTGCTCTTTTTTCTTGAATTATTCCATCGCACGGTCGCATCTTCGTCCGCGTGCGTGTGTAGTTTTACGACTTTGTCAACGTCGTGCGAAAAATAGATATCCAGTCTATTCTCTGGTAGACGTACATTGCTACAACATACATATAAACAGATATTAGGATCAACGTAGTACTTAAATGTTCCCGATTTCGGAGGACGATAATTCGTAATTTACGAAATTACGAATTTGGAAACGGCGTCCGACGCGGCGTGCCGCGATAATGAGCCGCGCGAGGCACAAAACCGCCATTGTTCGGCGTCGTTAACGCGTTGAAATTGAAGCGGCGAAAAATGCACGGCGAAACATGCTGGAACGCGCGATTCGGCGCAATTTCCGAGCAAGAACGGGGGTCGACGACACGCGGAACAGAGAAAGACAATCGTTCCGGCCGCGTTAGAGGAGGGAGGCGAACGTTGAACATCCGTGAGTCACGACGAGACTACGGCCAGGATGTTCAACCGTTCTCAATCTGCCGGCTCCGATCCTGTCGAATAAACCTACAGGGACGTGGCACCCGTGGAACAGAAAAGTACCTTCGATCTCGTTGTCGAAAGATCTCGCCGTGGATCGACGCGTGTTCGTCGTCGGTTGTCCGCGTCATCGTAAAATATATAACGAATCCCGATTTACCGGCCTGATCACCGCCATTATGAAGGTCAGCGCCACCACCGAGTACGTTTTGAAACGGCGGTTGCTCCGCACGTAGGAGAGAAAGGGAGCGCCGCCTACGTGGGAGAAAGACGGAACTAACGAACGACTCGAGTGCAACAGTGCAGGAGGGAAGACCCGCGCCTGCGCAGCTGCGTTGTTTACGTCTCCGAGCGGCGTGCATCTTCCCCGACGTCTCCGTGGAACGATAGAGGACGCTAGCTGCGATGAATCAGGCTGATTGCATTTCGATTTAGCGCCGGCTTGCTAATTATTTATGCCACAGAAATATTCGTCGGTGCATGGATCAAATCCACGCATCGAATTCGAAATAAACGTACGCTTTCCGCGTTCCTATGCTTCTTTTCATATATATTTCAGCGTCTGTCGTTCTAGCTTCGTGTTTTTAGCTACCTAGGTACGAGTGTACTCGTTGTGTCGGATGGAACAGATTGTGCAGATACGACGAATGCTAGATGTTTAGGGCCGGTTCGCCAGATTCTGGTCCGATCTACAAGATTAACAAAGAGCCGGGCAATTAGCGAACACGGAAGGCGCGAGATAGAACGATAAAGACGCGAGATGTATGACGTGTATTGGCTTACGGTCATTCGCTCCCCGGCCTTATCACGTTATCGTTGACTTTGACTTTGAATCGAAGTACGTTCCACTGGCAGTAAAAACCGACCGGTTACCTTGCCCGTTCTTCCGCGATAAAAGAGCACGCGTGTATACAGGGTGTACCGTTCGCGAAGCGTCGTCGGTCGAGGGACAAACGGCGAACGCAACTGACAATGAAATTCGGAAAATACGTACACGGAAACAAGGATACGATACGTTGAACCTTTTCAGGAAGAATACGGGCGACGTTCTCAGGATTCCACGGGTCATTATGGATTTTTTTTTCGACGCGTCATTACGGATGTTTTACCTGGCAGCCATATTAACTTTCCATCGCCTACTTCTCTATTCCTTGGCACTGCGTGTTCTCACTTTCCGTGGGACACCGCGAACCTCTGCGACATCTCGCGGCCAAATAAACCGTTGAAGTAGCGTACATTTTGGAACAGTCGAAAGGATTAATGTCCGGAACTCTGATCGATTAACCCCTTAATGCACAGTTTTTTTTAAAAAGGCCGGCCAAAAAAGATCAATTTTTTTAAATGTAAAAAAACACAATTTAGAACGTTGTTTTGGCAAGAAAATTACAAAAATACAAAAATAATGGATATTTATACAATTGGTATGATTTCCAATTTTCAGAATATTACTATTATTATTATTATTGTTATTATTATTTATTTTACATTATATTTTAGTAAAATATATATTGAAAAATGAGCGAATCAGGATCTGAATATGAATACGCTGTCGGAAAGCGGCTCACAAGGAAGAGATAAGTCGTAAGTGATAAGTAGAAAAAGGATATATTTTATACTTGAATAAGTAAGTGTTATAGCTTACAATCCCATGTAAATGATAAATATCAATAAAACGATTGCTTTTTTTTCGCTTTCACATTGTTATTTTCAATTCTCGATTGCATTCGAGTGTGGAAAATTATAGCAACATAAAGTACAACGCCGCTCGAATTAT